ACACACACACACACACACACACACACACACATACACACTAGCACACATACAGAATTCTAAAAGGAAAGAAATGAATTGGTTGGCTTTGTGCTTCGTGTTTCTTTCAAAACAATCTACAAATTCAAACTGCGAATGCCAACAATCAAGGTATTAATGGGCAAGGAAAAATACAAGAGAACAACCTCAAATATCACGAACTATAAGTTGAACTGCAAGGCCTACTTGTGGTGTTCCACCTCTCCTGCGCGCGCGCGAGCGCACACACACACACACACACACACACACACACACACAGATATAAACACACACACACACACACACACACACACACACACACACACACACACACACACTAAAACAATCGGCTATGCCTTCCAGGGTCAACTCAAGTGGCGCGGACTACTCAGACAAAATATAATTATTTCAATCATAAATCAGTGGGTACAAATTGAACTGACATCTTACGCATGAACCGGAAAGAGCCATGGCATTAAAAATCAGAGATGCTACGTAGAAAGGAATCTTTAGAAAAAATGAGCGACGATAATAATCAAAGATTCACGAAAAAAAGAAGTCAACTTCAGGCTTACCTCTAGAGAATCTGAGGACAAAAAGCAACAGAGGAGGAAAGGGACTTTAATTAACCCTATCCGTACGTCGTGTTTTACTATCGTATCCATCCGACGTGGGGAACTCTGCGCCACCACTTTCCAAAGAGGAAATTTACTCGTTAATCTCATCCGTACGCTTTGCATAGCAGTCTGTCAAAAATGATTTTTTGAGAAATACTGAAAGTTTCACAGAGATCTTTGTACTTAAAGCATTCTAAAATGTGAAGAATACAACCCCGAGGGTACAAAATGACCCCATGGCGTACCGATAGGGTTAAGAATGTACGTGTTTTTCGACGCCACCGACACGATTTAGATCATTTGAGAACCGGGCTTTGACCCTGCCTGTCAGGACCAACGTGGGATGAGAGGGATACAAAGTCCCGGCAGAAAGACAAGAGATTCATACATACGTATTCGATAGAAATTCTTCCCACACAGGAATGGAACTCTGATCTTCTGCGCACGACAGCAAAGCGCCT